CAGATGTTAGCTCAGGGATAGTCTTCCTCAAAAAAAAAAGAAAAATCCATGAGTTCATAACGATACCAAAACAAACAAACTTAATTGATCACCTTTCGAGGAAATTGAAAGAACCAAGGATTTACCATGTCCTTGTAATGAATACCTCAGGGTAACCAAATAGTTGATAAGGAAACATTATTTTTAGAAGAATTCCAGCTAATAAATGAAGAAGAAGGCAGGATAGAATACCACCGCACTGCACCCTTGCGTGAAATAACAGATCTAGGCAACGATCACCAATGACTGCCAACACCATTAGGTGAAAAGCTGACGGGGAACTTCTTAACGAGCAGATCAGGCTGATGACACCTGAACCCAGTGCTCAGTTGCGACATCACCAAAAGAGAGGTCATCAGACACAGAGGCTTAAAAATATTCTCACCAAAAATCAAATCTGAAATCTAATCAAGCCTCTAGATCTACTAGTTTACAGGAAATACAGAGGACAAAGAACGTTAAATGACACCATGGGGATTCAATTGGCAAAATCCAGAATGTGAGAATCTCCACAGGAAAACTAACTAGTCTCTTCAAAACATAAATTCCAGGGCCAAAAAAATTAAGAAGGAGAGGTACTCACAAATTAAAAGACACCAAAGAGACAGGTTAATCAAAGGCAACGTTCATACCCTGTATGAATACTGATTTGAACACACCAACTATAAAAATCAAAACATTTATGAGATAAATCGGTGTCAAATCTGAACATTTACTGGATATTTGATGATATTATGGGATAAATGTTTATTTATACGTGTGATAATGGTATGAAGTTATGTTAAAAAAAATTAAGTCCTTTCTTTTAGAACTCACAATGAAGTATTTACATTTTGTATGAAGGGGTTGGTGGAAAGTGGGTGAGAGTATAGATAAAATAAGACTGGACACGTATTGATAGTTGTTGAAGGTGGGTAATGGGTACACAGGGTACGTTATACTATTCTCTATATGTTCATCATTTTCCACAATATAAGACAAAATTTGCACAATAAAGGAAAATAAAATCTTAGTACACCTACCTGGCTCAGGAGTGAATATCTACACAGCCACAACAATATAAACACTAAATATTAATTTAACCAAAAATTGTGCTTTAAAGATATAATAGGAAGGGTAGTTTGGGAGGAGAGTCAAAATAAGAGAGAGAAATTCTTACATGCTGTAACTGGAAGTCAACATATAACATGTAAATTTGATAAATCAAGATCTATCACAATAATGTACTATTTAGAAATATGGAACACCAGAAGAAATCGCTAAAATAATTGCTACTGTTTCTGGGGAGGAAGACTCAAGAGTAAGGGGGGTGGGGCAGAGGAGCACCATTTTTCCTTACTAACCTATTAGTAATATTTGTCTTTTAAAACTATGTACTTGCATTTCTTTGATAGTATTTTATTTAAAGACCACTTCTCAGGTCTCAGTGCTCTGGCTGATAGCTCCCATAAAATTCACATTTTGACTCAAGCCTCAAGAATAAATATTTAAACCTCAAATTGGGGCAGACCAGGGTTAGCCTATCATCTTAATGGAATGGAGTGTCACTACCAGTAACAGAGAAAAGGACATGAAGGCATAAAAAAACAGAACAGCCCAGTGTCTCATATATACATATTGTACATATATAAAAAATACATATATGGCATGACTATTATTACAATGGACTCCTGGTCTGTATCTAAGGACCTACTGGATTGGATCTTAGGTCCAGCACAAATTTTGCAGGGAGAAAGAATTTATCTGGATAGATGTGGAGGGCAGAAATATGCCCAACAGAAGCTGGAAGGGCTAGAAATTTGGGTAAATATTCTGAAGTATTCATTCACGAAACATTTGATGAGCACCCACTATGTGTATGACCCTGTGTTAAGTGGTAGTCTACAAAATTAAACAATATACAGCTGCTACCCCCACAGGCTAGCGTGGGAAGCACCAATGCACGACAATGCAATACGGTGTAACAAGTGCTACAAAAGGAGATATGCAACGAGACATGCAGGAGCACAGAGGTTGGGAATCCCTAATCACACTGAGCAGTCAGATACGGTTTTCTACAGGATCTGAGGCTTGAAATGAATCTTAGGGCATAAGTAGAGGCCAGGTGAAGACGACTGAGGGCATTCTAGAGAGAGGACAGCCTCAGGCAGGAGTGGGACAGCCTGGCAGGGTAACTCTGGTTCAATACGAGTGGAAAGAGGAAAGCAGGTGAGGATGTGGCAGAAGATGAAGTTAGGGACCTTATCATGAAGATCTGCAAGCGCAAAGGAAGTGCACTTTAAAGGAATTTAAACATTATTCTAAAAGCTATTGGGCAACTACTGTAGAATTTTAAGCAAGAGAGTGGTATAATTGTATTTGCATTTTTAATTGAGGTAACATTGGTTTATAACATTATATAAATTTCAGATGTACATCATTATATTTCAATTTCTGTGAAGACTACACCATGTTCACCACCCAAAGACTAATTACCATCCATCACTGTATCCATGTATACAGTTATTTGCATTTTACGGACAGCTCTGGCTGTAGTGTGGAGAACACACCGAGCCAGGAGGCTGGAATCAGTGAGACCAGTTTGGAGGTGAGAGAAGATGGTAGCTTGGACTAGAGTGGTGGTGGTGATGATGCTGGTAGAAACAGAGAAGAGGGTGGGGTCAAGGTATTTGTAGAAAGGAAAACTGACCAGGCTTGGAGATTGATTAGATGTAGCAGAGGAGGGAGAGGGGATTAAGACAGAGGAGTCTAGATGTTTCTAATACATGGTGCTACTACTTACTAGGGTGAGAAAAAAGAAGCACATTTGGAAAGGGAAAAGGATAAGTTTAACTTAGGGCAGTGGTTCTCAAGTGGAGGCGACTGTGCCCTACAAGAGACACCTGGAGACATTTTTGGTTGTCATAACTAATACTATCTAGCGGGTAGAGGCCAGGGATGCTGTTAAACATCTTACAATGCACCTAACAGCGCTACACAACAAAAAATTATCCAATTCAAAATGTCAATAGTGCAGAGGGCCGGCCCCATGGCCGAGTGGTTAAGTTTGTGTACTCCTCTTCAGTGGCCCAGGGTTTCACCGGTTCGGATCCTGGGCACGGAACTAGCACCGTTCATCAAGCCATGCTGAGGCAGTGTCCCACATAGCAGAACTAGAAAGACCTACAACTAGAACATACAACTAGGTAGTAGGGGGCTTTGGGGAGAAAAAGAAAAAAGAAAAGATCGGCAATAGACGTTAGCTCAGGGCCAATCTTTAAAAAGAAAAATAGTGCAGAGGTTGAGAAATCTTGATCTAGGGCAATACTGATTTGAAGAGTTCTGCAGGACAGCTAAGCGAGGACATTCAGCAGCTTTTTGGAAACACACCTCCTGAAGTTCAAGAGGGAGCTGGAATGCAAATATAAGTTTAGGAGTTGTCAATTTATAGGCAGTTATTCCAGTTATCAGCTAGAGTTGGGTGCAGTCGCCCATAAATATATTAAAAAAGAAAGCCAAGGACAGAGTCCTGGGGGACACCAACACTTACAGTCAGAAAGGAGAGGAGAAAAAGATCCCATGAGAAAGACTAAGAAGTGGCCAACCAGACAGGAGGAAAACCATCAGAGAATAGTATCACAGAAACCAAACAAAGAGAGCGTTTCAAGGAGGGAAATAAGAATAAGTGGTGCCAAAGGCAGAAAAAAGTTGAGTAAGTTAGGGGGAGAAAGCGTCCATTGGATTTGGCAAAATGAAGGTCATTGATGACTTCTGCATCTACAATTTCTACAGAGTGTTGGGGTCAGAAGCAAGAACCATCAGATTTTTTTAAAAGATTGGAGATATTTAATGTTTATGAACTGAAAAAGCTGAAAGAGGTGGGGGGAAGGAGGTAAAGAAACAGGACAAAGAGGGTATGTAATGAAGGAGCAAGGATTCTGGGGAGGGAGGAGACGAGTGGAAGATGGTATTTCAAGGAAGGATAGCCTTAGACAGGGGAAGGACCTACTGCCTCTCACTGACGTATGAGGAAAGGAGGGGTAAGATTTCAGCAAAATTGGTAGATGGTAGGAAAAGCAGCTAAGGGAGTTCTGATCTGATGGCCTTCATTCTCCAGTGAAAAACCAAGCACAGTCATCTGCCAAGAGCAGGGGAAGGGGCAACGGGGTAGGAAATTTGAGGAGAAATAAGAGTTTAGAATAGTCACTGAAGAGAATGGGAGAAGAAGCTGAGAAGGGCCATGTAGGATTTCCGGAGAATGATCCTACAAAGGGAGATGTGTCCTAGCAGGGAAATCTTGGAGGTCAAGATGTGGCCTATCAGAAGGCACCACCCAAGTGTCAGAAACCTGAATCATTAGGAGGGTGGGTGCCAATGAGAATTAACAGGGAACAAGAGCGTCAGTTGGGAGTCCTGTTCAGTCCTCATGAGTAAGGCTTCTGCCTTTTTTTTTTTAAAGTTTCATGAGGGCAGACACCATGTCTGTTTGAGTCACCATTGGATCTCCAGCTCCAAGCACACTGCCTGACACATGGTAGGCACTCAATCAATAGTGGGTGCATGAAAAAGGATATAAAAATGTCTCAGAGGCCAACCTCATGATGTAGACCTTACCACCACTCCTACATCTCTTATTTCTCAATTCTGTTTTACCGAAAACACTAGCCTTCCGAATATTTCCGACACCTGCCACTTGCTATTCTGCCCTCATCAGTACCTCTCTTTCCTATCATTTCCCTCCTAGGAAATTTCCTGGATGCTTGACATTTGCAATAATGGATGGAGTTCTCTCTCCTCCTCTCCACTCTCCCTGAAATGAAACACTAGCAATGTTCTCTCCACATTAAGAGGTGCGCTTTCAGAATAGAGCCCCTCCTGCCCTGTAGCACTAGAAGCAGCTCTACTTTTAAACTGTCAGGGGCGCTGTCGTTACAGACTGCAATACCGTGGGTCATCTTCAATACGCCCTTGTTCCTTATTACCTGGGCCACTTGATTATGTTTCTCAGGCATGTTTTTCAGCTGGTTAGACCGTACACAGATGATGTTCCCGTCTATGGAAAGAAAAAAGAATTTGATTTATATGGTATTCTTCCTAAAAGATTATTTAGAAGAAAATGTCTGGCAACTCAAATTCCCTCCTTCAAAGAGGCATATGCAGATATGAAGAAGCAAAGTACCTAATTCAAGCTCAAGGCCACTTTTCAGACGAAACCTGTTTCCTGGTCTAGCCATTAAGAAGCTTATCCGTAAAGGAGCTAGTCTGCAATATTTTCTCTCATGCCACAAATGTGCAGTATGACAATGTCTGCTTTCTGTTCAGATTTTAAGATGGAAATAAAATGTAATGGGTTTTGTTTTTCTGTTGCTGAATAATAGGACACTGACATCATATACTCATTTAATTCAGCACACGGGGGGGAAAAAGCCAAGTGCCTGCCCTAATGAACTATAGTTTAAGGCATATGGATATTAAACAGTGTGACTAATATAAAATGATGGTGCTTCAAGTGGATTTATTGAAAATAGGCAAACAGAAAGTTCAGGAATGGAATCTGGGAATGGATACTGGAATTAAGTCTCAGAAATATGCCACTTTGATTTCCCTTACCAGCACTCACCACCCTCACCAATTCTTTTAAGGCAGATTTAATCTCAGAAAGCACTAGTTTTCAGGGATATGGGGATGTGAGATAGAGAAGGTAACTCTCTAATAAGGAGGAGACTGCTCCCAGAACAGAAAGTAGCATAAAATGATGATGAGGACAATGATGATGACAGAGCAGCAGGAACAACATTAGCATTTACTAAGTGCTTACTAAGTCTCAGGCATATGGCTTTCAGAGGAAGAAAGGGCGAGGGTTGTGACTCCTAGTACTATAATGATAGCCACCAAAAAGTATCCACAATTAACCCTGTGCTCATGTTCTGCACCAGACTCCCATTTACCCTTCTCCTTTGGAGCCACGGTATTCCCACTCCTCTCCACTCCCACTGACGCTGGTCTCTGCCCTGTTCCCTTTCCTCTCATTCCTTGGTTTGTTATTTCTACTAGTCACAGCCTTTGACTGACCTCTCCAAGTTCCCAGATAGTACCCCACGGTCTTTGGATTGCCATCTGGACCTCGATTCACAGAGAAGGTGGACTTATTTCGATAGCCATCGATGACAGGCTGGAGAAGGTACAATGACAGGAGAGGGAAAATAGGTCAAATGAAACCAAGGAGGACAATAATACAGGGAATGAAAGAATGTTCACTGAATGAGAACAAATAAATGCTTGCTGGAAAGGTATGGCATAGGGGAAAGTTCATGGCTGAGAAGATCACGACACTCCATGGATACTCCATAGCAGACAGGAGTTCCAATCTTGTCATAAAGCAGGAGTCAGCAAACATTTTCAGTAAAGGGTCAGAGAGTAAGTTACTTTAGGCTTTGCAGGCCATATGGTCCCTGGTGCAACTACTCAACTCTGCCATTCTAGTGCAAAAACAGCCATAGACAATCCATAAACAAGTGAGCTTGGCTGGGTTACAATAAAGCTTTATTTACAAAACCAAGCGGTGGCATAGACATGGCCTGAGGGCCACTGTTTGCCAACCTCTGCCATAAATTAAATTCTGCCTCTCTAAGGCCTCAGTAGGTTTCCAAGGTCGAAATCTTTCTAAGGAGGTAGTAGCGTAGTGGTTGAGAAAGTGGGCTTTGCATCGGATAGACCTGAGTATAAATCTCAGTTCTGGAATTTTCTAGATGTACGTCCTTGTGCAAATTACTTAATCTCTCTGAACTTAAATGTCTTCAACTGTAAAAGGACAGTGTCTACCCCTCAGGGTGACTGTAAACAGTAAACGAGAAAATGATGCATGTTAATCACTTAGCATAGACCCTGATCCCCAGCAAGTGCCCAGTAAGTATTGACTGATATTATTAGCTATTAAGCGGACAAAGGAGATAAAGGATAGGGAGGTGAGGGCTTACAGAGGGTATGATAGGATGGAGAAGACAACAGAGCCCCTTGGATTTAGGTGCAGCTGTTGTCACGCTGACTCCGTTGAGCATTTGGAGATAAGACTCTAGTCTTTGTAAAATTTTCTTCTGAGCTTCAAATTTCACCTGCAAAAGAATACAAGCAATGAAACAAAAGACTTTCGCAGTATCACCTCAAAGAATGGAAAACAAACAGGATAAGAGAAGGTTGTCCCACTGGTTCTTGGGTCATGGTCTCAGCAGATAAGGAATCCAGAATGATGGAACAGCAACAGATCTAATAAGGTATTGGCAAAAGGTCAAAAGTGAGCTCTGTTTAAGTGCATCATTTTATCTGACCTTTCAGACTGAACACTCAAGCTATATGCCAGCACTGTCCAGTAGAACTCGCTGTGATAATGGAAATGTTCTATGTTGGTGTTATGTTCTATGTAATATGACAGCCACTAGCCACATGTGGCTACTGAGCACTTGAAATGTGGCTCGTGTGACTGAGGAACTGAACTTTTAATCTTAGTAAATTTTAATTAACTTACACAGCTCTGCTATAACGTGACATAAGCGTTCCCACACCATGCTGTGCAAAATCACTCAAAAAAAAAATCACAGGGCTCATGGGAAAAATGGGGTTGGGCACACACATCCCAACACCTCATCAGTAACACACAGAGAAAAGATAGGAACCTAATAAAAATAGTACAGTTTTATAGGTTAAATGGTAAAGAAATGTATAAATACTACAATAAGGATGGCACTTTACCCTGACAAAGACCTGAAGTTTGCTTGTAGAAACGGCTGCCTACTTGTGAGTTATCATGAAGTGGTGAATGGAGGGTTATGTGACTGGAACGAAAAATTCTCACAGCAGACATGAATGGATGTGGCTCATAACACACTCAGCAAACTGAGGGAGCAGGTAGATGTCTGAGGTGTGTGCACGTGTTCATTTGATGTACTCTTATGCAGCTCAGTTGAGCTGGGTGCAGTTTCTTCTTTAATCTGGTGCTTCCCGCGGATGAAATCACTCCTAAGCAAATGTGAAATCTGCATTATGTTTAAATTGCTCCCTAATATACCAATCTGTTGGGACAAATTTCCGTTTTCAAAACAAGCATTATAGCAGAATTGACTGTATTTAAATTCAAATAGCCACACGTAGCTAGTGGCTACCGTGTCAGAAAGTGCAGCTAGATATGAAGCGGCAAGAGCACTTGAAACTCACACACACAGAGCTATAAGAATAACAAAAAAGCAAGGAAGAAAGGAAATAGGCATTTGGATATATAGCTGTAGAGTTTGGAAGACATAACTAGCCTAAAGTTGAAACTTCAGAATCATTAGCATATTGAGTTTAAAGGGCCCATTGGTGTCTGGGTAGAGCTGTCCAGTTGAGCCGCCTCCAAATCTAGCACCACCCACTTGATGGAACGAAGGAGTGAAGACTTCAGCTGGGTCCCTACCTTGAGCTGTTCTTCATAGCTCAGCCTCCAGAGTGGCGTCACAACATCGGCCAGCCTTGAATAAATAATTCAGGCACTTCATTTACTACATAAATACATGGTGAGCACCTATGATGCATAAGTACTTCCTGTCACCATTTTCTCTGGTATTTTACTTATCATTCAGAAGACATAACTCTCATGCCCCCGGGGAGACAGAGTCTGGGAGAAGAGCCCATTTTGGTCCTGTCTACTTAACAAAGCAGAACAGGTGGGCAAACCTAATACAAGAAAAATCCAGATTTATCAGGGGGGAATTAATCATATTATAAAAGGCTTCACTGTTGGGTTCCTTTAAATAGCTCACCTCCCTAATGCTTTTAAAATATAATTTGATTTAGGGGCTGGCCCCGTGGCCGAGTGGTCAAGTTTGCACGCTCCACTTCAGGCGGCCCAGTGTTTCGTTGGTTCGAATCCTGGGTGCGGACATGGCACTGCTCATCAAACCATGCTGAGGCAGCGTCCCACATGCCACAACTAGAAGGACCCACAACAAAGAATATACAACTATGTACTGGGGGGCTTTGGGGAGAAAAAGGAAAAAATAAAACCTTTAAAAAATATATAATTTGATTTAGAAAATACATTTGTTGCATAAAATGAGGTATATCTGTGTTTGCATGGCTGCAATGGGACTATTCATTTCTAATCCATCTAATCTCTCTCTGGGTCCCTGGCTTTCAGCACAACTGCCCTGGACCTTTCTAGGGACAAGGGTCCACTTTAATATCTCCTTTCTACAAAAACACACAGAAAGGCAAGGAGAACATTTTCTATAACCCCAAAGCATTTACACCAACATTCCTTAGATGTCTTCAAGTTTGCCCTTGGTATCCTGCCTGAGGTCCCCCTTGGAATCCTTGGAATGACACATTAGTTACATCAGAAACACAGAATTTCAGGGGCCAGCCCATGGCGTAGTGGTTAAAGTTCCATGTGCTCTGCTTTGGCAGCCCGGGTTCACAGGTTTGGATCCCAGGCACAGACCTACACCACTTGTCAGCCACGCTGTGGCAGTGACCCACATACAAAATAAAGGAAGACTGGCACAGATGTTAGCTCAGAGCGAACCTTCCTCAGAAAAAAAGAAACACAGAACTTCAGCAGGCCTGGAGATTCAGACTTGCTAAGGGGAAAGGACATCAGCCTGGGGCTTACCTTTCCTGCCAGGAACCATCTAGTGGTCCAAGATGACTTGGTTTCTTTTGACTTTTCTGTCCTCTTTGACACTTCTTGGCTATCACGTGGGTGAAGTTTCCCTTACATGCTGAGCCCAAAAAGAGCTGTGACCAACCTGGAGGTTTTCTGGCACACCAGGGGAGCAGTCCTGGTTTGGAGAAAATATCCGCCCTGGAGAGGAAACATCTCGGGCTGTGCATTGGGACTCTTCTCTTAATACCCGCCAACCAAAGAAACACTGAGATTCACCTGCATGAAAGGTGGACATTTAGAAGTTGGGAAACAGAGGCACAATTCTCAAACCTTTTATTCATCTGCAAACCTTTATGGAAGCCCAGCGCCTAGCACAGTGCCTGGCACAGAGCCAACACTTGGTAAAAGCAGACCTGCTGAGCAGAACTGAATTACTGTGGGCCAGGCACTGGCTTAGGCTCCCAAAATAAACAGATGAGGAAAATATAGTCTTTGTCCTCCAGAAAGAGTTTAACTCTCTAGATACACTTCTATTGCCATCTTCTACCCTCCTACCCAACAACTAATCGATCAACTATTCAGTAAGCACTTACTATGTGCCAAGCACTGCACCACAGTAGATATTGGAGGGATTACAATTTAATTAAGTGCGGACAGAGGAAAAGATAATAAACAACACAATATACTTGGTTCCTAATGAGTGCTCAGGAAAGACTTCCCAGAGCAGGCAGGACATGCACTGGGTCTTAAAGGATGGCAGGGAGGGGGTGAACCAGGACAGTGACTAGACTGGTCTGCCTAAAACGGCAGCTCATTTAGGGAACAGAGGAGATAGTGCTGAAACGTTATGCCAAAGGGAGATCAGGAAGAACTTTAATGCCTGAATAAAATGTAAACTTCATTGTGAAGGCAACAGTAAGTTGATGGAGGCTTTACATAGAAAAATAAAGATGAAGTAAGGAAACTGATAAGCGAATTCGTGGTTGAGGCACGTGTTCGAAATGGTAGGTCTAACAAGTGAATACAGGAGCAGGGCTGCAAGTCAGGAGAGAAGCCCGGGCTACAGACTGGGTCAAGTGTATCTAAGTTAAAGTACACACTGTACGATTTTTTTTTTTTAAAAAGCTTTCAGTAAAGAGAAGAGCAAAAAGCCAGAGATTAAAGCTGGGAGAAAAGCAATGTTTGGAGAGCAAGAGGAGATGCTGGTGACCCAGGAGAACCAGGAGAGTGCTGAGCTTGGAGGCCAAGGGAGATGCCTTCCAGGAAGGCAGTGACAAATCCAGTAAGTCTGAGGCCAAAGAAAGAAGGGAAATAAGGTAATGGGAAGTGGCAGGCAGTAGGGACAAGTGGAGGTTTGAGATCTTAGGCGTGCAGACCTGGGCGGTCCCCTGGTTCCACCACTTACTAGCCAGGTGGCCTCTGGCAAGTTAAGCATTCCCTCTGAGCTTCCTTTTTCATCTGTAAAATGGAGATGATAATAGTACCTACCTCAGATAGTGGTGTAGGAGTTAAATAAAGGATAAATTCATAAAAAGTACTTAGCAGATGATCGAATAGAGATGATGTTTGTAAAGCTCTGAGCACAGTGTCCACCACCTGGCAAAAACTCAGTACCTGTTGATTTTAACTCTCATGATGTTTAAAGACAGTGTGGGACTCAGTGGGGGTGGCAATGAGGGAGGGGAGCAGGGGAAAGGGACAGTAAGAGTAACTATGGGGCAAAAGCTGGAAGAGTCAGAACAAGTGGAGGGCCTCCCTCTGCAAAGAAGAAGGAACTCCTCTTCCTCCAACACAGGACTCTGTGTCGTTACCTTTTTACCTTATGGCGCCAGATTACTGCTGTGTAACTTTTTTCAGTACCCAGGACACATGAATGGACTTGGCTGGACACCTTACTGATCTGTCGTAAAATTACCTTTTTGCCCCTGCCCTCTACCTTAGATTTCATACCAATGTTAAGTCATACCTTAATTCAGAATGATATATATTTAAAAGCCCAATGTATATAATAGATTTATTAACAAAGATTCTCCCATGGCTCCTTCTATTACTGGGAAATTAGTATGCCACGATCACCAGGGAACTTAGAGGATGCTGACATGAGTGCTGTAAAATTTAGCCCATATACCATTTTGTATGTTCACCAAGTACTAAAGAAAGTAACTGCCACAGCATGGAAGCATTTTGGGGGATTTCAAATTTGGAACAGAAGAAACTGAAGCTGGCCCAGAGTTCAGGTGTTTATGATACCCTCCACCCAACTCCCAGGAAGAGGCAAGTCGTTAAGAACATGGGCTTTGACGCCATGTTCTAATCCCAGCTCTACTCACCAGTGTTGTGACTTTGGGCAAGTTACTTAAGCGCTACGAATCTCAGTGTCACCATCTATAAAAATAGGACTGATAACACGTATCTTTCAGGGTTGTGGTAAGAATTAAATGAGCTCATATATCCATGAAGTGCTGAGGACTGTGCCAAACACCACAGGTCATCATGTGTCACCACTCTTCCTGAGGCTCTGAGTCAAAGCATGTCACTTGACTTCTTTGTGCCTCAACAAGTCCAACCTGCAAAACTGAGGAGATGTATAATGCACACAAGTGCTGAGGATAAGTACGATCATGTGGGAAACTTAGAAAACAACGCACACAGAAAAAGACTTTCCTAACCTTCTGCACTAATGCCTGCTGGAGTGCAGTGAGCTTAAGCCCTGCCCTCGTCCACCTGTTATTACCATCAAAAGTGTGTGACCTGTGATGGACATTTTTCCAAGGTGAGACAACTATATGTATTTGATACAAAGAAAAGCAAAAGCCGGAGAGAGGAAATGAATGAAGAGGCAGGAGAGAAAGAATAAAGGATGGTTGGGGGAAGAGTGGGCTGAGAAGGCCAAGACTACAGGGGGAGGGAGTGGTGCTGGTCCAAGAAAGGGGCCCTGGCCCTCCAGCTGGCAGAGAAGGATGAAGGAAGCTGCAGGCCCATTTGGGAGTTGGCAGAGGAGAGACAGGGGAGCTGAGGAATTTAAAGATAGCTATCCCTACCCCACAAGATTTAGACTTTTTTGTGTGTGGGTCCTCTCACTGGTGACTGCCACCACGACTGTGCTCCACTTGCCCTGTACCCTAGCAGGAGGGCCCTTGTCCATATAGGTTTCTTCCTCCAAATTGTCAGGTCTAGCCTAAAACAGGACCTCACTATTTCAAGGTGCCAACGAGTGATCTCTACTGGTAAAGAGCCTTTCATCATATTTAGTAATTTATGTGAAATACACTTTTCAAGGCAGCACAGTAATATTAGTTAAAGTGAGTTACGTTTCTTTGTTTCTTGACGTCAGAGGGGACATTTGTTCACAGAAAAGACTATTTTATTTTTATAGTTTCTCCTATTTTAAATAAAATGCTTGGGTTAAAAAAAAAAGTGTGTGACAATTACTCTATTTCTGCCTCAGGAATTGATCGGGAAGAGACCCAGGGCCCAGAGCTGCCAGATAGGAAAGTACACAAACTCTCTAAGGCTGCAATAGCTAGCTGACCTGCCTGAAATGCTCAGGGAGGTTCAAATCAGAGACTACGTGGCAGGTCTCAATGTGCAGTGCCAAGGATCTCCTTGGAGCAAAATGTTCACCCACAGACAAGGGTCCTGCTTACACTCTCTGCTCAGCCCTTCCTCCAGTCGGCCTGGCCCCAGACACGGTTCCTGGCTAAACCAGACAGACAGCTGGCTTTACCGCTGCGTCCTGGCTGCACCCCACATGCAGTCAGGTCCTTCCTTCCCCCATCAGACCCCTTCCCCAGCCCCTCCAGCCCCCTCTTCTTTCGGCAAGTCCTGCCCACCGGTCTGCAGGAAGGGTTACCAAACAAGAGACACTAGGAAAGGCTACCACTGACCTCGGGCAGGCGGCACGGCCAGGGAAGACCAGGAAGGTGGAGGGACGAGGTCGGAGCACAGGCGGACGCAGGGCTGGACGCGACCGGGAGCAACCAGCGGCGGCGGCGGTCGCGTCCGCGTCCCCAGCCCGCCCGCTTCTCAATTCCCCGCCCCGCGGGCACTTTGGCGTAGAAGCAGTTTTCTGTACAGGAAGGGTGAGATCAGGTTTTGAGACTCTCCATGGACCCTCCTTACCTTCGTAACCAATAAATCCTCTTACAAACCTAAGGCGGCAAACGAAAAGGCCAGCGAACGGTCCGAAGCGCACCCGCTGGGGAGTCACTTCCTGGTGTGCAGGGCGCCCAGGCTCGCGACGCACCCGCCGCGGGACACCGACTCCGCGCATGCGCCACCGGCTTGCGCGCCCGGGCGACGGGTCCCCGAGAGCCCCCTCCCTACTTCGCCGGGGGCGGGACGGGCTTCTCTAGAGACCTTCCTCAAAAGCACTCATCGCCCTATTGCCCACCGCCTTCCCTCCCTAAGCTCCCCTCCTTTCCCCGCAACCCCGCCCACTGCCTGCTCTTTTCACCGTCCCGTTGGTTGAGCTGGATAAGCTTCCAAAATCAGAGAGAAATTCTGTAGTGCTCCCCATCGCAGGGACGCTTGCATTTAAGCCTTTGAGCCAAAAGAGTGTTTTTTTTTTTGTTTTTTTTTTTTTTTGGAGGAAGATTAGCCCTCAGCTAACTACTGCCAGTCCTCCTCTTTTTGCTGAGGAAGCCTGGCTCTGAGCTAACATCCGTGCCCATCTTCCTCTAGTTTATACGTGGGACGCCTACCACAGCATGGCTGCCAAGCAGTGCCATGTCCGCACCCGGGATCCGAACCAGCGAACCCCGGGCCGCCGAGAAGCGGAACGTGCGAACTTAACCGCTGCGCCACCGGGCCGGCCCCGAAAGAACGGTTTTATAATGGTAGTATTGTAGGCATCAAAGCCATAACGAGTTGGAAGATTGGGAGATGAAAGGCAGGATAGTTTCCTCAAGTCACAATGTTTGGTCAAAGTCAGCTCTAGTCTGAGTCATAGGACTTTTCAGGCATTCTTTCTCCCTCTGTTTTATCAGAAAAATATTGTTATGACAAGATAAACCTGGTTTCTTAAGCGGATCCCACGCAAGGCTGCTAAAGCCTAAAACCTCAGGGAAAGAATTGTTTTTCTTCAACTACGGAACTCAGAAGGGGGCCAGCCCAGTGGCGCAGTGGTTAAGTTCGCCTATACTGCCTCTGAGGGCCAGGGTTCACCGGCGGGGATCCCGGGTGCAGACATGGCACCTCTTGGCACACCATGCTGTGGTAGGCATCCCACATATGAAGTAGAGGAAGATGGGCACGGATGTGAGCTCAGGGTCAGTCTTCCTCAGCAAAAAGAGGAGGATTGGCAGCAGATTTAGCTCAGGGCTAATCTTCCTCAACAACAAAAAAAAAACTGAGAATGAGGCCAGATACCAGTAGTTCATTTACTAGCTCCTGGACTACATTCAATGATTCCCTTAATTTTTAGAGCCAAATGAGTAAGAGAACGTTGAAGGATGCACACAGGTGTGTGCTGTAAAAAAATTGTTGCCTTAGAATAAAATTTACAGCAAAGTGAATCTACATTACTTTCAAAGATTGGCACCTGAGCTAACATCTGTTGCCAATCTTCTTTTTTTTCTTCTTCTTCTTCTCCCCAAAGCCCCCCAGTACATAGTTGTATATTCTAGTTGTAGGTCCTTCTGGCTCTGCTATGTGGGATGCTGCCTCAGCACAGCTTGATGAGCGGTGCCACGCCTGCACCCAGGATCCAAACCCGTGAAACCCCGGGCCAACAAAGCAGAGCGCACAAACTTAACCATTGGGCCATGGGCTGGCCCCAGTGAATCTACATTTAATGACACTTAATATTTATGCTTAATAGTAATTGGCCTTAAATGGAAAGCACCTTATAGTCAATATTTCACTTAGTTATTCAAAGCATAACATGCCTATTATGTGCAAGGCAATGCATTAGTCCTAGTAAGTACAGCAGTAGATTAAACATGGCCCAGTAACTCAAATAACAGCCAACACTGAGTCAGCCAGACCAAGGTTCGAAGACCAGATCTGCCACTTATAAGCTGTATGAACTTGGGCAAGTTACTTACTTGCTCAGTGCCTCAGTTTCCTCATCTGGAAAAAATGTCCGTAATACGGGCACCTACCTCATAGGGTTGTGATAAAGGTTAAATAAGCTAATACATGCAAAATGCTTAGAAGAGAGTAAGCACACACTCAATAAATATTAGCTATTATCACTCAAAAATAATTTTATATACTGTGTGTATACACACACACGTACATATATACCTTTTTTTAAAAAAAAAAAATCTTTTACTTCCCATTCTACAGGCTTGAGCAGGTAAATGCTTGATTCAAATGGCAGCCTTCCTAACTGTTCTTAAGCAAAATCTAGCTCAAATCACTGCTTCGGTTCCTAGGCCCACACAACACTACCAAGGGAGAGCAGGCCAGAGAATGCACCTTTGCTTCTCTTCTCCCCTTCTCTTCTTTTAGTCCCCTCTTATGCAGATAGCCAGTCCTACTCCTTTCCTCACCTCTTCTCCTTTCTTCTCCTTTCCATGCCCTCCTGCTCCTTTATCATTTCTCATCTTGGCATCCTTTGTTGTGCCTTGCACAGAGCCAGGTTCCCAATAGGAGCTCAATAAATATTTGATGAATTGAACTGAATCCCACCTTGTCCACTGAAAAGGAAGGGGCATATTGTCACTCACCCCCGCCTTTACCTGTTCTGAGCATCTAAGCAAACTCATTTGAAGCAGGTCTGTCATTTGAGAAGGCAGAACCCTGAGGGCTAAAGAGAGAACAGAGATTAAGGAAGCTATAATGTAATTATTTAGCCATTAACCCTTTTATATTTATTTAATCTGATAGCATGCTCTTCTATAAAAGAAAAACCATTACATTTGTAAGAGGGGGAAAAATATCCCACATTACAGAAAAAGTTACACTCTTCAACCAGAAAGTCAATAAATGGACATGTCATAGGTGATGACCAATATTGTTAAATTAAATAAGAGCTGAAACCAAGATAACCTTTGCTTAACTTTGTTATCAGCAAACCAAATCACAGCAAAGTGAAGTCTCTAGAAATTTGTCAAACATTCTCATTTTGATCTAAGGAAGAGATTTCTGAGAGGCTACAGCATTAGCTCTCAGAAATAACATGTATTAAAATCACTTGGGGGTGCCAGCCTGGCGACATAGTTGTTAAGATTGCGTGCTCCACTTGCTTCAGTGGCCCAGGGTTTGCAGATTCAGATCCCAAGCGTGGACCTACACACCACTGAGTGGTGTGTGGGTCTGGCATCCCACATACAAAAAAAAAAGGAGGAAGATTGGCACAGATGTTAGCTCAGAG